ATCACCAGACTCAAGGAGTCATTTGCTTCTCCAAGAGCTAAGAACCCTGATGGCTAGTGTTGTTCTGGAGTGATTTTTGTAGGGGAATTCTAGGTCTGGGCAGAATGTAACTGCTGCATTCATGTAATCTCACACTCATGGGAGCCTAATTGGCTATCATAAATTCCCTAAAGAGCAAGACATTGCTGACCGATCAAAGGAAGTGACAAGCTCCACTGACTAACCAGAATCTGGAGCATAAGCTGATCATGCACCTTTAAGACCATTTCAATCTGCCAGAACTTTCATCCTAACTCCTTGCTCTGTGCTTTGAAATAAATACTTACTTTCTTCCACTACCTGATTTGCTTTCTATGTATCAGGTGACCAGACTCAGTATGGGATATAGGGGTTCTAGAACAATTCCTCTAACTAGTTCAGGGTGTTGTCTGGCAACATAAGTTCCCCAGCAGAATCACCTCTCTGACTTGAACCAGGGTCCAGTGCTGGGACAATGTCCCTTCTGGGCTGTGGATTTGTTTCCAACTGAATGGGGCTCTAGGTCCTCCAGCAGAACATAGCACCAGAAGCAGAGTAGACATCCAGCTCCTTGAACAGCCTCCTTGCTTTTTCCCGTGACTGAGGTCAGTTTCACTGGAGTGTGAATGAGCAAAGCAGTAGGAGAGGTTAGCCTGTCACTGGGAGAGATCAAGAAGAGAGAAGGTACGTCTGGAGGCCTGGGCACATCCACAGGGAAGGTGAGGGTTTCTGGCTCCTTTCACCCTCCTGAGAAAGAAGCTTCCATTCTGCAGGTGGGAGAGCCTTGTGGTGGCTCTGCAGCTCCAGGACCAATCCCAGCAGCTGGGCCGTAGCTCAGACTAGGAGAGCTTTTGAGCAAGAGTGAATATGCTCTCCACACTGCTGCAAAGGTGGGTCTACTGAAACATATCAATGTCAGTTCTCTCTCCTGCAGGCAATCTAGAGAGGATTCAGGGCTGGCACAAAGAATTTGCTCTTTAAACCAACTCTCCTCCAAGTTGATAGATCACAATCATTATTGTGATTGGCATTATTGTGATTGGTAGGGGTGGCAGGGTAGGGAAAGTTTGGTTGGGATTTCTGATTTGGCTCATTCATGCCTGAGTTCTCTCGCTCTCCTTCCTTCATTTGTTGAGCATCCATTATACACTGGGAACTGAGCTGGGGTACAACTCACGTGGTCATGGTTCTTGAAGAACCAGCAACCTCCAGAAGTCTACCTTAGCCAGCTAGTTGTCACTATAGCGAAATACCCAGGAAAGTAACAGGAGAAAAGGTTTACTTAGCTCACAGGTTTAGAGCATCAGTCACGTGTGTGTGTGTGTGTGTGTGTGAGTGTGTGTGTGTGTGGCAGGGTGGTGGTGGTAGGGGAGAGTGCAGAGGAAAGACCTCACAGGGGCCAGGAAGCAGAGAGCCACTGGGCTCCATTCAGGCTGCTAGATCAAGCATCTCTGGAGACGCACCTCCCTCCTTCACCTCTAAAATACCCCAAATTGACTTTGTACCCACTCTTTTAATGCTGTCCACGACTTTGGGGTTTGGAGTGCACATTATTTCTGGAGCCAAATCGAATTCTTATTCAGCAGGTGGATTTTTGTCCTCAGGTTTACCCACCTGTAGCAGACTGTGGCTAAATGTGGATCTGCCACAGGGGGACCAGGTATCGACTAGCTCCGTCTGGCTTAATGTAGCATCTGTTAGAGTTTGTCAAGGACTCTCTTGTGTTATCGTGTTCCATTCTCACAGTTGTTTTGGGAGCCTGGCATCACTGCTGATTTCTGTTATAATTTATTATTTATGCTAACGTTAGGGTGACAGAGGGAGGCAGAGCTCAGCCATGCTCCCTGTGGCTCAGAAGAGAGCAGAAGATCCACCCTGACTTCCCTCCCTAGGCGGTGGACAGACACCTCCCATGTGTGGTGAACTCATATTCAGTATTTGGCAACACTGACGTTTTTCAGGTAGCCCGATACTTCTGCTTCCCCTCAGATTCAACAACAAAAGTTTGTGTGATCTTCCTTTTCCATTTGTCTGCTCCTTGACACCCCTAGCTCCTCTCTAGCTCTGTGTTTGTTGGCAAACTTTTTTCTAGGGTCTTCCGTCCCTGGGGAGCCCAGATGGGCTCTGCCTCTCACTTTAGAGTATTTACAGGCCTCCGCTCTGCAGGTGATCTTAGTGGCTTACACTGCTCAGGATGTTGGAATTAGCTGCAGGGCATTTGGTGTTTCCTATGCTTCTCCATCCCCACTCCCTTCTCCCTAAGGGAGGAGGGGGGTCACCTGTTAGGCTGTTGGGGAGGGGGTGGCTGAGGCTGTCTGGTCCCTGGCTGGAGGGGCTGCATCTCTGTCCAGCAGCTGTGCCTGAATAGAACTTGCCAGGAAGAATGTGCACCTGCTGCCATCCTCAGGAAGCTGCCACGGTGGGCAGAAGCTGGTCCAGCATGGGCAAGGGGGCAGAAGTGCCTGAGTTGTTTCAGTGGAAAGCTTGTGGCAGTGCCCTTGGAGTGGGTATGCCAAAGAAGAGCAGGCAGCCTGTCCCTGCCCTCCTGCAGCCATGTCCGCCAGGAAGGGCAGTCCCACAGGGAGTGAGCAGGAAGCTGTCCTCTCAGCTAGAGTGGCCAAACACTCCTGGGGGCTGTTGCTGCAGCTCCTGCCTCACCTGGAGGACACCCCCTCCTCTGCATGTCTGAGGCATGTTCGGGAGAATGTGAAGCACCAGAGCCCAGTAAATGGTTCAACCAACCAAGCCTCCTAATGTGAAATCAGGCAGGCTGATAGCCTTCAGCAGGGGTGGCCACACTTAGCAGGACAATGTTCATAGGGATGGATGATGCCCAGGTTGGAAGGCCATGTCAGGGCCACCACAGGGAGGGCAGAGAGGTCGTGGCCTAAAGTTTGGCTTGCAACCTTGTCATCACTCAGGTCAGCCACACCTCATGATCTTCCCCATGAAGATCAGAAATACATTTTAACTGAATTTTTGATGCTAAAAAACCTAAAAATTGGAGAGTAATGTGGTTCTTTACTCCCCACTCACATAGACCTGGAGTCAATGATAATCAAGATTTGGCTCCCTCTATGTAATTTATTCTCCCATGAAGGTTTTAAAATTACAAACATCCTCAAGCTTAAAGGTGAGGTTCACATTTTGGAAATTGCTCCAGGACCAAACCAATGTTGCTGGGAGTCGGGTTCATTCTGCAGCTACTGAATGAAGGCAGCCCTGTTTAGGGGCATGCCTGCTGGCTGGCTGGGATGGGATTCTGGGCTAAGCCTGCCTGGGACCCCTTCCTCAGCTGCACCCTGGGGCTTCAGGGCCCACTCCCACAACTCTTCAGCTGCCCCATAAAAAACTGCTGGCTGATTCCAGATGACCCGAGAGGAGCTGAAGTCTGAGGCAGGTGAACTTGTCCATTTCCTGGTTAAGTCCTGTGTTGGTCGGGGTGGGGTGTGTGTGTGACGGAATGGAGGTCCTTCCTCTTCACAGGTAGGATCTTTGGCTGGTTTTAGGGGCTATTAGAAAATGCCCAACATTGAGTAATTTATAAAGGTAAGAGGTTGACTTAGCTCCCAGTCCTGCAGGTCCAAGAGCTCCTTCGTGCCGAAGTGACTGCTCAGGTCAGGGCAGAGCTGTGCTTGGCAAAGGGAAGTGCCGAGTGTGGGAGGCCGTTCCTCAGCTTGATTACAACTCACTCTACTGACCAACTGGGGCCCAGGAGAGCGAGAACACACTCCTTTGAGATAAAGCCTTGATCCCTCCTAGTGACATAATCTTTAAAACTCAGCACAATCATGGTCTTGATCATCTTGAGGATCGAGCCTCAACTTCATGAGTTTCATGATATGGTCCAACTCTATCCAGGCCAGAGCACGTGGAATGTCCAGTTTTTGTACAAAGCTCTGGAGATGGGCCGGGGATGGGTGTCTGAAAGCATGTCTGCTGTTCCACTGGTCAAGGACAGGGCTGAGGTGTGGGGGGAACCGGGCAGGAGAGCCCCATGGGAAGAATGTCCCTGTCCAGAGGCTTGTCCTCCAAACGTTAACCCGGCCAACTGCCCCTAACTCTGACACATCTTCCTCCTTTGGGGAAACAGCACTGGGCTTATTGGAGGAGACTGGCAGCACTGACTGTGTCATTCTGTCAGTGGCCCTTGATGAGCTGTTATCCCCTGGTTATTGTTTACCCACAGGGCAGAAATGAAAGTCAGATTTCTCTTACTGGTTATACTGGGCTATAGCAAATGCACTTTGAAAAATGTGTATGATGCTGTCCATGCATACAGTGTTATTAACATTGAACATCTCAGTTCTGCCTCATCGTTCACACAGCCCCTAGCCTTGTCATAGGCTTTATTTTAGGGAGACTCAAGCCAGTGCTTCATCTTGAATGTGCAAATAAAGTAACTAGAATCTCTTTAAAGTGTGAGCTCTTATTCAGTGGTGGGTCGGCTAGGTCTGGGCTCTACATTCCCGTGTTCCTGGGTGAGGAACACCCAGTGCCTAATGTAGGCACTTGATGGCCCCTCCCAGGAGAGAAGAAGGAAATCTTTCTGCAGTGGGCTAGGAAGAAAGAGCCGAGAGCACAGTGGAAGATGGGCATGGGGGTGTGGTGACTAGGACACACCTTGGGATGCCTGCATTCCCTATCAGAGGGCCTGAGTGACAGCCTCAGCTCCACGCCTGCTTCCTGCTAATGTGCACTCAGGGATGCAGCAGGTGCTGGTGCAAGGACTTGGCTCTTTGCCACCTACACAGACCAGAGTGAGTTCTTGGCTCCTGGCTTCGACCTGGCCCCAACCTGATTTTTGTGGGTATTTGGTGAGTGAACTCATGAATGGAAGATCTTTGTCTTTGTCTCTCTACCTTTTAAACAAGCAAACAAACAAAAACACAGCTGAAACATAGTTTATTAAAAGAGCTTGCAATCAGAGATAGCCTGATGGCCGCCAGGGAAGAATCTGGGTCATGGAAAAGGTCGAGAGAGGGAAGGCAAATCCAAGAAGCCCTGGGCTAATCACTTCCTGGACTTCTCAGGGGAGCAGCCACCATTGGTCTTACTGAGGGAGTCCGTGCTGCCTGCTCTTGAGCCCATACTGTGGAGGATCTTGTCGAGTTCTCCTGGAATGTTCTGCTTCTCCTCATTCTCCGTCTCCCGGTGGTAGAAGTAGTTGAAGTTGGAGACAATGACAGGCACAGGGAGGGCAATGGTGAGGACCCCTGCGATGGCACACAGAGTTCCCACAATCTTTCCCCCTGGTGAGGTCGGGCACATGTCGCCATAGCCTACTGTTGTCATGGTGACCACAGCCCACCAGAAGCCATCAGGGATGCTGGAGAAATGGGACTCCGGTTCGTCCACCTCAGCAAAGTAGACGGCGCTGGAGAAGAGGATGACTCCAATGAAGAGGAAGAAGATGAGCAGCCCCAGCTCACGCATGGAAGCCTTCAGCGTCTGCCCCAGGATCTGCAGCCCCTTGGAGTGGCGGGACAGCTTGAAGATGCGGAAGACCCTCACCAGGCGGATGATCCTCAGGATGGCCAGGGACATGTTCTGCTGGGTGCTGGGTTCTGTCTCCTGGACCAGTTCTGTGATGAGGGTCGCAAAGTAAGGGATAATGGAGATGATGTCGATAATGTTCATGATGTTCTTGAAGAAATCTGTCTTGCTGGGGCAGACCACGAAGCGCAGAACAAGCTCAAAGGTGAACCACACGATGCAGGTGGACTCTACCATGAAGAAGGGGTCGCTGAACATGGTCTGGGAGGGGGCTGTTTTGTTGGTGTTGGGGCTAGGGTCTCGCACCGTCTTCAGTTCCCTGTCCTCCCGGAACTCGGGCAGTGTCTCCAGGCAGAAGATGGTGATGGAGATGACCACCACCAACACAGAGACCACGGCCACAGCACGGGCGGCGCTTGAGCTCTCTGGGTACTCAAAGAGGAGCCAGAACTGCCGGTGGAAGTCGTTAGTGGGCAGTGGTATTTCAGGATCTTTAATGAAACCTTCATCTTCCCGGAACTGGTCCATGGCCTCGCTGCCCAGCTCGTAGAAGGAGATCTCGTCGGCAAAGACATCAATGGGGACATTGGCGGGGCGCCGGATTTTCCCGCCAGATTGGTAATAATATAAAATTCCATCAAAACTTGGTCGGTTCCTGTCAAAGAAATACTCATTTCTCATTGAGTCGAAGAACTGCATCCTTTTCTCCCGATCTCCCAGCAGGGTCTCTGGGAACTGACAGAGGGTTCGGAGCTGGGTCTCAAACCTCAGGCCAGCAATGTTGATGATCACCCGCTGGCTGCCTTCACTAAAGGTCACAGACTCAGGCCCTGGGGGATCTGCGTAGTCTCCAGGTAGCTTGGAGAAAGTCGTCTCATGGCTGGTGCTGTCACTGCCGAGGACCCTCCTGTTGGAGAAGGCGCTGGCCCCTGGCCGACCTTTCAGGCTGGTGGGGTCAAAGCCAGCTGCAAAGGCTGACTCTTCCTGGATTTCGTCTGAATTATCGAAATTGACTAGAGCAACCTCCATTTCTTTCCAGCCACACACATCCATTTTATGAGATCCAGGGAGGAAGCATGGAGACCTTGAGTCTTTGCTGCCTGCTGTGAGCTGTGGAGAAGGAGATATTCAGGGCAGACTGCAGTTGCCTCTTGACCCTGGGGAGGAGGGAGGGGAAGGTATCCCAGTTGACCGAGCAATGCTTACTTTTAGCTTTGGGAGAAACATCACGCTTTTTGGGCAACTTTGCTCCTTCAAAATCAATTTGAGCTGGCACATTCTGATATAATTAGAAATTGCCAAGAAGCCTGGCCCAGTTGTATGTGGGGAAAACTTTGCCCAGCAGAAGGGGGTTTCTCCATACACCATGACAGAGAAAGGCCACAGTGAAAGAATTTGGCATTTCTCTATAAGGAGAGCCTACCATTTTCTCCCCATCACCACTGCTACCTCTGGGACCAGGTGATGTGAACAGCTGGGTGAATCCCACAGGTGCGTGGGGCAGGAGGTCAGCAGCATCTGCCAGTTGGAGCCTCAAGCTCCTCATCTGGAAAGGAGCTCTAGGGGCGTGGGAAGGTACATTAAATGAGGTGTGTATGGAGGGTGCCTGGTACGAAGACGACTAATCACAGTTACTGTTTCTGCCAATTTCACTATGCAATAGGAAGTGGGGGAGCCACTATACATTGGACCATTTTTGGTCCAAGTTCAAGGCGTTCCTTGATTTAATTTAAAGAAATAATTCTAGGTGGAAAGTAAATGAGTGTGTGTGTACTTTGGGAGTGAGATCATTTGTCGACCCTGTGAGGGGTCAACAGTGTGACCATGTGCACATAGACTAACATCTCTTTCTGAGGTTCACATGGCTTAAATTTCAATTGAAGAACATGGAAACCAGGCAGGCTGGGGTTGAAGGGGGAAGAGAGGTAAGGGACCAGCTCTGAGGCAAAAGCTGCAATTGTTGTGGTCTGGGGAGTCGTTCTGTTTAGAGGTGACAATGTTACCCTGCAGTGTGCAGTGTTGAGACTTTTCTAATCTCTCCTCTCATTTGGCAGCAATAATGGTGAGAAGTTAGATTCTGCCTTACAGATGTGGAAACTGAGTTACCAGGGTCCAACTAGTGACCCAGGAGCACACAACTAGCGCAATAGAGCCCTGGCTTGACCACAACCTCCTGGCCTGAGCCTGGCCCACTAGCTCGTGGCATTCCCAATGTGGGAACTGAAGCTTGTGGGCCGCCACAGGCCAGGGTCACAGACTTGTGACAGCTCTGCCCTCCTGCAGTCTCTTGCCCTCTGTTCTCTGTGCAGGTACTGTCACGTGGGTGGTGAAGTCAACCTTGGCAATCCAGTCTTGGTAACTGCTGCCGGGCACGCATGTGCTGGGGGCTCTGACTCTGTGCACTTCTTGCGACTTTCTCCTTTGGGGCTGTGGCCTGGGTCGTGGAGGGGGCTACTCCCTGTGTATCACCTCCTTGCTGTGAATCCCTCCACCTTTCTGGGAGTGAGAGATCATATGAGATGGGACGGGGCTGGGGAACAACTTCCATGTGGCTGGAGCCTGGGGCACATAGCATTTAAGAGTTATTTTTCTCTTCCTTCCTTCTTTCTCTCTTTCTTTCTCTCTTTTTTCTTCTCCCTTTCTCTTTCTCCTTCTTCCTTTCTTCCCTTCCTTCCTTCCTTCCTTCCTCCCTCCCTCCCTCCCTTCCTTTCTTTCTTCTTTATGACCTTACCCTCCTGGGCCCTTTTCCTCCTCTGCTCCCTCTCTGTCCTGTGACTCTTTCACCTCCAGCCAAGTAGCATAGGAGGGAGGCTGCTGAAGGCATGTGTATAGGAGGTACTGATGGGCCCACAGGTGTCCCATCTAGGAGAGTAAGTGCAGATAGCTGTAGACAGGACAGCTGGGCTTTTGGGGGAAGGCACCCAGCTGGAGGCTTCACCTTTCCACTCAGGAGCAAATCACTGGCTTATTAGTTTTAAATAAATGACCCTCAGTTTTCTGGTCTGTAAAATGAAGGAAAATGGGTCTTAATTCCCAGCTCAGAGCTTACCTTACATCCAGAATTGAAGAAGCCAACAATAGGGACAGAGTTTTGTTATTTTAATTATAAGCTATTGCAAAAATGTTAAGAGCTACCCTCCACTCTGTTCTGCCCTGAAGTGAAGCATGAACACATGGTGGATAGGAATACTTTCAGGTAAGAGGCAGGGAGGGAATCTCTTGGCTCACCACCTCCTCACTTGGCTCTGCCTGGCCCAGCCTCTGGCCTGCCTTGCCGTCCCTCTCTGCCTCCCATTCCCTCCCGTTTGAGGGCTGTCCAGGGTCTGCCTTGTGCTGCTAGCCTGTGAGGCTGGGGGAGCGGGCGGGGTGCGTGGGCGCCTGCCTTCTCTGTGGTCTTCACCTCGCTGCGGGCATCGCTCACTTTCACATTTTAGCCTGCAGGTGTAGGACCTTTACACGAAGCAGACAAGAGGAAGCTGGCTTTCACGGATCTCAGGGTGCAGCGTGGTTTGGTCCATATCTTCTCTCACCCCTTATCTCAACTATCTTCTGGTCCCTCCCCACTTGGTACAGACCGCAGAGATGCAGGCTAACTATCGGCACTTAGTGCTTCAAGTCAGCTGCAGGCAGGTGGTCTTTGCCTCCAATTAGGCCAGACACTTCCTGCGGGCAGCGTCTTGCGGGAGGAGGTGGATGTGCAGAGGGTTAAGGTCACGGAGCTCCACTGAACAGCGGGGTTCAGAGCCCAGCCCAGGGTCCTCCTCCTTAGGTCTCCTGCGGTTGCTTAGCAACGCCAAAATCCTCCTACCCTCTCAGGTGAGGCCGCAGCTGTCCCTGAGGCAGAGGGTGGTTGAAAGAAGCCCATTAGGCAGAGATTGTTTGTACTGCCCTTCATGGTCTCCGGGAGAGCTCGGAGGTCGCAGGGCTGGCGGAGGTGGGGTGCAGACAAGGGGCTGGACAGGTGGGCCTTGGCGCGGGGTTGGGTCCCTGCTTCTGCAGTGGTTGAATGAAGGTGTGGACAGAAGGCAGCCCGGCTGACCTGGACGCTGCATGTGTCTGGACAGAAGAGGGCGCCATTGTCCTGCCTCAGGAATCCTGGCCGGCTCCGGCCGCCCCATGCCTTGGTCTTCCATGCCACTCCTTCACTTCCCTGGGCCAGCCCAGGCCTGAGATTCCAAGTCGGGTGGTTGTCAGCCCCGACGTTCCCAGCCTCTGCCTCTCCTCCCTTGGAGCTCCATTTCTAAGGCGTCTGCGGATCCCAGGCCCAGCCCCTGGCAGGATTCGCTGGCTGCGCCCCCCCATCCAGCGCCCACCTCTCACAGAGGGGTTTTCAGAAGCTCTCATCTCCCACAGACTTTGTGAGCCCTGGCAGAGGTTGACAATGGCAACCCTGGAGGAGACATCAGAGGGGGTGGGGCTTGCCGTGGATAGCAGGATCCACTTTCAACGGGGGCTGGAGGGTTGGCGGGGTGGTAACCAGCAGGGT